GTTTCATTTTCAAATTCATAATTTGAAATGTATAATTAATAGCAAGACAGTGCTTAGGCTAAAGACCGACGCGTCTTTAGGTGTAAACATCCAAAAAATGCTCAGGTCAAAATAGTTTGTGGAAAACCTCAAAGTTCTCCTAGAATACTAAGTAGGATGGCAATTCATGTGCCGACAGATCTGATGGGCGGCCGTCCTTTGACCAACTGATTATAGAGTTACAAGTTCCACCTGTGACAGGTATCGACTTCTTTGCCTCCCACCTGTTCTTCGAAGAACAAGAGTACAAAAGAGAGACAACTCCATACATCTACTTTTGAAAATGGCTTTATTCCTAGATCCCTAAGCCCTAAACCTAGAATTAACCCTAAGTAAATCTTTGGACCTAGGTAATTAAGCCTTAAAAAACTTTAGATATAACCTTAAGGACTACACTAACTTATTGCTGCCTAGAGCACATTCAATTCTGGACCATGCTCCGTGAAGGGCATTGAAATATTTGGAAAACATCAAGTGCCCCTTTAAATAGCAAGATTTTACGCATAAAGGGGAAGCTGGACTAAGAAATAAACTTTGGATTAAATGCCACAGTATCTGAAAGGACCACCAACCTTCAACCACAGAAAATAAAGTATGGCAATTGTAGTTGTGCATATTGGGTCGCTACAGTATGGACAACCTATATCATGCCATGTGACCGATACACCCTGGTTTGGAAGTGCTTTTCTATCAATAGATCCACTTTAGAATGCTCTACGGTCAGAGTTTTCAGTCGACTCAACCTTTTTTTCTTTTTTGAGAAGAATACTTACGTTTATTAGATCTAACAGACATTATAATACAGCGTTAAAATAAAACATCTCAAACTATCAGCGACTCTAATGAAGTACTCATTTTCACCGGCCTGTCTGCAACATCGTTCGCTTTTCTATAGACATGATGCAAGGACACCTACCATTGAGACATACTATCCAAAATTTGTAGCCAAATGATCTTAAACGCCGTAGCGGTCTGGATATCTTATTACACTAGTTAATCACATTAAGTGAATCATTTCAATTACCAAAAAGTTTCTAAGCTATCTATCCTTCCAAATCTGACGTCCTTGCAGCAATGTTACCATTTCAGCATGATTGGCATAAATATTTCCACAAAACACCACGGTGCCTCTGCTAACACGACAAACACCACGTACTCCTGCCACACCAGTATTATCTAAAGATGATCAAAATTCAAATTGAAACACTCTGCCAATGGTTGCTGCGAATTACACCCAGGTCTAACCTTAATGTCATTGAAAGTGATAGGGTTTCAAATTCAACTCAACACCCACCTTAGAAACATCCGAACCTTCTTTAGTTACACATATTGAACCAGCTTCACACCTGAAACAAAATTCTATTCTTTATCCCTTGAATCTCCGAAGATACTCCCTCAAATGTTCTTTTATTCCTTTCACAACCGCAACTCCCATATAATAGCTACCCGAAAAATGTTCCAAATCATGCCACCTACCTTCGAAACTCCATTCAATTTGAGATGCCAAGGATTTATTTATGAGAACTAGGATAAACCGTAGAAACACTTATTTTTTGCAGGGCCCAATACCAAATATGACTACAGAAAGGACAATGTGGAGATAAATGGTCTCCATTTATCCTCATCATTTTTACAAAAGGGTGCGATTTGTATAGAGCACAGGCTCTAAACAATCAAATTAGAGCCTACCTTCAAACAATGTCGAGGAATGTGGTTTCAATATTAAAAATCTTTTTGATAGCCTTAAAATATATTTTCGTATTTATTTATAAAGTTTAAAGCTTAAAAAATAGTATGGAACGAGAGATCTATGAAAACTTTAAACTCTTTAAAATTGACGTTCCAAAAATGCGTTACAAAATACACTATTTTTAAAACTTAAAATCCATTTTTTTCTCATGTCCATGCATCTTGATGTCGAGATGATCAATTTGAAGATATTTGGGCATCAAAACAACCTCATCTAATAAAAGTTTTGAGGTAGTCTCGAATTTAATTGTTTTGAACCTCGGCTCTATATAAACTTTTCCTTTTACAAAATAGGCATACTTTAACTAAGATTTTCACTCTCTTTCTTAAATGGTCAATGGTTGAAGCTTTTCCTTATGTCATTACCTATACAAAGCCCGGACCTTATGCGGTACTCTCCACTTCCAAATGTCCTTCAAATTATGCTGGATGCATCTAAACCGATCGTATGGAAAAGAATGACTTGACCGAAAACATACCATCATATTCAAATTCCCAAACTGCTAAGTCAACTGAACCTTACTAAGGCCAAAAATCTGAAATCCCCAACTTCTAGCCCTTAGCCTTGGCACCTAACTAGAAGCAGTTCCTTGTAGTTTTTCTCAGCTACAGAAATCAAGTAAACCTAAAAGAACCTTGAGCCTAGGGCTTGGGGCACAGAGCCTCAAGACCTCTCTCTGCAATAGAGGAGAAATCTGAATAAGGTTTCTTTGATATAATTGAATCTCTCTTCTCTACAGGACACACACACAAGGCCACCAATGATTATGGTACATGCTTCTTTTTACTTGCTCTTTTAACCCAAATCCATGAACATTGGAAGAGTGATTCGTATCTCATAAACAAGTTCATATTCATGGTTAACAAGTCAGTGAATAATAATATCGGTGAAAGAAAAAAATTGAGTAAAAAATATGGATTACTAAAAAATAATTTAAGTTAAAGAATAGTAAATATTTCTGATTTGGCTCAAAAAATGAAGTTAAAAAATCAGACATATAAAGAAGACACAATAGAGGATTATGATTTGTAATTATTATATAAATACATTAATGCTATTGAACAATAATTTTATGTCCTTATCTAGTTTCACTAGACTAAAAACTCGACAAATTTTTATCTAAACTTTCAATAGATCCAATAATAAATCTTAGATTGTTGTCACAACAGAAAACATACCATAAATTTAGTTGGAGCATACAATAAAACAACAACAATGATTTCATGCAACGGTTATGTCATAGTATAATGCCACAATCTTCAAAAACTATTTTAGAGCCATTCGTTTGATCCAACTTTTGAAATATACACTCGTTTCATTCTAATGAACAATCAGAAAAAATAAAAAAATTTCCCATTTTTTTTTAGATGGCTTTATTATCATTAGATGAACAACGTTAAAAAAATAATAATTTTGAGTTTTTAACGGCTAAGATCTTGAAATTCACCAAATGAATGGCCTTGATTCGTTGTTGGACGGGACTAATTTTGACCATATCTAGAGTTCAAATTACACTTCTTTTTTTTTGCATATTGATTATTGAGATGAAGAGAGCATGTGTGCAAAATTTTAGGTCATAAAAATACCACAAATATGGTTTTCTAGAAGTGTGGTTGCATTATATTATGATACAATCGTTGTATGAAATCATTGCCCCAACAGGAATACTAAACAAAGGAACTGCATTAGTAAATAACAAAAACTATAACCTATGGCATAGGATTATTGCTCAAAGAGAAAAAAAAACACCCTTGGTAGAGGATTGCAGTCAACTAGAACAAAACACAAAGGCCCAAATATGTAGCATGGTGGTCCTTTCAAAATGTTATGTTGTATACACCGATGAAATAAAAAATAAACATATGAAATCAATCAAACTTCGGTATATATAAAAAAACAACAAAATAATTTAAGCAAATTCAAAAATTCAATTCTCTCACTGAATTCCTAACTGCCTTAATCATTAGTGTCATTGAATCTCTCTCTTGCTCAACTGCCTAAATCTTTAGGATCATTGAATCACTTTCTCGCTCTTTATAATGATGCTCTAGGTTTACCAAAAAAAAAAATATCATTTGGTTACTCTTCTAACTCTACCTATTATTTTGCGATATAAATTATTTGGATATCTTATTTTTTTTAGGAACTATATTATTTGTATTTTTTCGCACACTTTTTTAAGGGAACTTATTGATAAAAAATTTTAATGGAATTTTTTAAGGGAACTTATTGATAAAAAATTTTAATGGAATTTTTTATTGAATCAAGATTCTTAATTTACTACCACTGTTGATGTCCTTGTCTCTAAATCAAATTTTAAATAGTATTAAATTAATGAAGAAAGAAATTTTTCTTGAAGTTTTTTTTTCAAATTGTTTTTGAAAATAGATAAATACAGATTTATATCAATCCTATTAAAAAAATGCGATTTTTTTAAAATCTTTTGAAAAACTCGAAGCTCTTTATGGATGTTGAAAAATCAGAAATTTTTGCTTTTTAAAGAGATACTTGCTAACTATGTTGATACACTTCCAGATTGAAGGACCCAACACCCCAAACGAGCGTTTACATCATCAGTACATAAATGATAGGATATGAGAAATTCTCCAGATGAGAGGAGCAATGTGGTCCCCAAAAAACAAAAAAAAAAAACAAAACACATATATATATAAACAATCATTTCTATCTTCCAGGCACCGGTAAAGTGCAAAAGGCAAGCTTTCTATACTGGAGCATAAAAGCTCTATCATCCCCCTTATCCAGCCGTCCATTCTGAATGGATTGCTAGGATTACCTGTCTCTACATTATTTTCTTTTTAATGTAAACTATTTTGATATCAAATTTTGGACATCCATTCCTCTATTAAACTCGCACAACAAAAAATTAAAAAAAAATATTTTTCATAAAATAAAATAATCAAAATACCCGTAAAAATTTCAAAAAATATTTTGGTCATTATATTATATCAAAAAATTATTTTAAATATTCGTTATAGGTGGCCCCAATGAAAAGATAACACGTACCAAATTTTATATTCATACAAATTATATTAAAAAAATTAAAAATAAAATATTTTAAAACGTCGAATCTAACATCAAACAATCATATCAAAATTGAACGGCTGGAAGAAGATAGAACTTTTATGCTGGAAAGGAAGCATAGAAACCTTTCCCAAGTGGAAATTCCAGGGAACCATAAAGTGCAAATTCCAAAACAAAAAACCCCACATATTCAAATGCCATTTGCACGCAAAAATGACAAAACTCAAAGTTCTAACATGTGAGGCGGTTACATTCCATCGGACCGAATGCATAGAGCACACACCTGAGGTTCCAAGTTACAGCAAGGGTAGAGAGAGTTATATACAGCAAAGCAAAATAAAACTAACTGCAAACAGCATTGTGTGGTGGTTAGTCAAAATCACTGAACATCACCTTGCTCTATCTCCTAATCACTTCTTGATATTCTTATCTCCAACATTATTTTCAAGCCTCAATAAAAACTATGGAAAACGTAAGCATCGCTGTAATTCTGGAACGAAATAAACTGCAAAATCTCAGTTAACCCACTCCCAGCAAAACTGATCAGACATGCTTTGTATATCACGCTGTCCATTTGAGTCATGCTCCACTGGCAAAGATCTTCCTTTTGAGGTATACGAGATAATATCACCATGTTCGAGTATCGGGAATATCTGAGCAGTCTACAAGGTTAGAATGTCATTACGGGGGCAATCGGTTTCCATGGATGTGGGCTCCTGATGTGATTGGCGAACAAACTGTCCTTTCACACGTGGCCGCTGCTCTGCAAGCCTCTTCCTGCTCTGGTATCGAACCTGCACAAGGAAATCCAAAGTCAAAATACTAATAAAAGAAGCCGAAAAGATGAGAAGAATTATTAGAATTCATATTCTTGAGTGTGATTGCTTTCTTCATCAAGACTCGGATTTTTTGGCTTAGTATTGGAAAGTTGTCAACTTAGGAATCCATATGCTCAGGAATTTGTCAACAGAATTCACTTTTATTAGAAACATATATTCACATTTATGCATGGCTTTAATTTTCAAAAAAGAATCATAGATCAAGTTCAGAAATAAAGGGCACATACCATAATACTAAGATAAATATCATTTTTTGTGTCTCTCAAAGATTTCATGAGATTTTTAAAGGATTTAGAGGTTTTTATCCCAATCATTTTCAGTCGCTCCAGCATGCCAATGCACCATCACTATGTAAAAACATGATCACAAGACTAAGGTGTCAGTTAATCTACTTGGCCAGGGCACATGCCATGTTTCAAATTTTGTTCCCAACTTGGGAAGGTCTGAGTCGTGTTTCACTCGTGTTCCAACACATCAACTTGGTTCAAGTCCAGAACCAAGTATAAGTAATCAAACTAAAACTATAACAGACACAAGATCAAGGAAAATAAAGCAATTACCTTCTTCTCAAAACACCGGTCCTTCCTCTTCAATCTAAATTTATTCAAGGCAGCTTCACGTTGGCTTGAACGATGATAAGCAATTGAGTTCCCATTATGACCCAATAAACCCTCATTACTTCCACTATCATTATTAATATTCCCACTACCGCCATTGCAAACACTTCCACACCCACTCCCATTAACATGAGTTTGGCTCCCATTACATACAGTGCTTGCACTTTGCCCAGTAGCAGGAGAAGCACTCTTTTGAGCTTCTTTTGGTTCTAATTGCACCTCATGCTTTTGGCCCAAAGGAAGTGAAACTGGCTGATTCACTTCATGGCTTGTTATATGGTGATCATGGTCTGAATTATGGGATTGTTCAGAGGCTTGATCAGATTGATGAGATGGGTCTACTTCTCTTTGAGCTTCTTGTTGGTGGGGTGAATCCCAGGGAGGTAAACTGGGTTGTGCATAGAATATGGGCTGGAGCACCGCACCATAGCCTGTGCATACACCATCAAAGGGTCTGCCTCGTATGGGCACTGGGAAAGAGATGACACCCATTTGAGGACATGGGAAGGCTTTGCTGTCTTTAAGCGATGGGCTAAACTTTGGAGTTTCTTCTTCTTCTTTGCTCTCTAATTGCATTGTGTTCTCTTTTAGTGCATGGTGCATCTCTCTCTTGAGTGATGAGGGATATTGATCAGTGATGGAGTGACAAGTAGCGGTTTGGGTTCCCATGGGTAAGTGGGCTTTGGCATTGGATTCTTGCACGCCAGGGCAAAAACTGGTTGATGCTGGACAAGAAGGATGTGCAGTCTGGTTATTGTACCTGCAAAAGTTTTTTCCTTTCATGAGTGACTGAAGCTCAATTCAAGAAAACAAATGGGCTCCATTCAAAGTTTTTCTTTACAACATACACATCCCAGTTCCCAGGTATGGTGTGTCATACACAAGTGGGCAATCCACCTACTGTTCTTTAAATGGATATTGGAGATAAACCGTGCTCGAGAGATGTCTTCCATCCCGAACATGGTTCATCTCCATTGTCAGCCACTGAGAATGGAAGGTGAATGCTCTGCCTATGTATTGCATACTATACAGCAAATGTGTGTGGTATTGCCTTTATTTTTCTTTACCAGCCTCAGCAGGTATTGCAACAATGCATCGATTTGTCAAAAATAGAGAACGGCATATATATCCAAGCACCAAAACTAAGCCAAAAGAAAGGAAGGATGGTGCGTCTGGAAACAATACGATCAAGATATAGCACCATTTACTTGGGAAGGCATGCTCCATAAGATACAGATTTACTTAGTACAAATTGTTAAGACATTTAAAGCAGATATAGAAGAAGTCACCCCAACAAGTAAGAAGAAGATGAAGAAGCCATGTCATCTTTACCCCTATTAAACAAAATTCTCTTGCAATGTTGTAAAATAATTTCGATGGAAGGAATAAAATCTAGGAAAATTTATCAAAATACCCACAAGAGATGAAATATTTAAAAATTTACCCTTTTGGAACTATTCCAACTCAAGGCCATGTGCTAATTTATGGGTATTTTGAAAAAAAAAATATGGGTGGGTAAGTGTTAAATTATTAATCTCCCATGGGTAACTTAATAAATTTCCCAAAAATCTATTAGCACTGAAATCAGGTAGTTGTGAGAGATTATTACGAGGTGACTCAAAATTGCTTTTTCAGAAGTGGCATGTGACCACTGCATGGAACATTAGTTGGGGAAGATTAATGGAGCTAAAGGATGACTGCATATTCACATAAGCATATGATTTTTGGGAGCTTAAATGATATGGAAAGGAGCGTTGATAGACTTTAAAGAACTCTGAAGATAAACACCATAGGACATGAAAAAACAATTTGGATTTATTAGAAGTCTTTTCATTTTCTTCTTCATTGCAAGTTCTTAAACTATCCAATATCCCTACTGACCCAGACTCTGGCTTATGACATTTGACAACCTCACAGGCCCAAAAATAGCTAACGAATCAGCTGGAGTAGAGCTGCCAAAATGCCTGACCTGATTTTTTTAAACCAAGCCACTCCAGAGGCCAACCCAGACGCCCACATGTTGGATCAGCCAAGTGGCTAACACTGACAGGGTTGCAAATAAGCCGGATCATGTCTGGGCCAGGTTTGGCCCAATCCCCGCTCAAGGTTTTGCAGCCATGCCCGAGCCTGCTCGAGGCCCAAGCTTTTTAAACCAAGCTAGGCCCAAGCTCAACTAACATGCCCAAACTGGCTTGGGCCTAGCCCAATTGGCAGCCCTGAAGTGAAGGCTTTATTAAGAAAAATAAAAACAGAGAGAGAGACATATGCAGAATAAAACAAGAAAGGCTTTTAGTTAACATACATTCAGGATGTTCCAAGAATAAAATAAGAGATAAGCACACCATATACAGCAGTATGACAAGAAAGGCTTATAATAAACATACTTTTATATTTATACACTACGTGAGGTACCCTAAGATGAAGATCTCCAGGTGCTAGGGAACGTAAATCACCATGGTCCCACTAACAAATAGAATAAGATTATCAAACTTCGGTCAAGAAGGTAATAGATTTTCAAAAGATAGTTTTCAAAGCATGATGTCAAGGGCGATTTCAACATCTATTTAATGAGGAAATGTACATAATTTAAACAAACCAATGGTGGAAAAAAGAAAATGGCAGAAGACCAATTTTCGACTTTCCTTTGCTAGGAAGTGAAATTTGTTATGTGCTAAGATCCAACTGAAGAGAAGCATGTACACAAATCAAATGGAAACCCACACAAACCCATCTATGGAACGATGCAAAGGTATACAATGACACAAATAATTATGCCAGATCATGAACAAAGGACTTTGATTAAAGAAATCTGTATATTCATATTCACATATTATATATATATCGTTCTCATGTGGATGGTTTAGCCCAACCCGTGACACAGGGCTAATCGACCTAATTGACTTTGTTTTTTGGGGCTGGCTAGTCCTGGCTCTAAACTAGATGAAATAGGAAGGACAGCAGGCATTAATACATAACTCCAAAACATATTGACGGAATTTTGAGTTTGGATATTTAGAATTTTCAACAGTGCCTGACACAGCACCTTCACTAAAAATCCAGTTGTCCTTTGATGTTGTGATTTGTTACGATGGCTTGTACACAGTAAACTGGCTCACTATAATCATTTACGCTCATTGACCAGATTAACTACTACACACCCTTTGGATAATCAGGGGTAGAATGAACGACAAATGTTAGTGTAAGAGCTACTTGTAAGCTGGAGTATTCTATGCTTCTATAGTTAGCTACCCTACTAAGATTTGCAACATCAAAAAGTGAGGCAGAAGCAAAAGGATAAAAGGATACTGGAAAAAGCATTCATCAATTACCCATTGATGTAAAGTAAATGTAGAAATTGATTGCAATGGTCTTATGCCTCCATCTACAAACTTCAAAGCAACAAGATCATGAAGAGGAACAAAAATAGCAAATGCACATTATCTTCACTATTGAATCAAATCCCAATTACAATCATAAAATAGAGATATGCATACAACTGTCAAACATGAGCCAGTGTAGCTACCAGAAGCTCCTCGCTAATACATACTGACCAATTTTCTAGATGGAAACTAATCAAAATATATGCAGCCCATGACGAAGTGGCCCAATAATGATTTCAACAATGACTTGACCAAATTGGATGCACAAAATCCAACCGATGAAAACCTAGATGCTTCTTAACTAATCAACAAAATCAATATATACACAGTATGACTGCCTTGGAAGTGTGTATTCTACTGAAACTCGAACAGTGAACCAAAAAGGTTCTACCAGAAAATGTGCAGTTTCCACATCAATAAAAATTGTAACAAAATCACTAAATGGGTTTGGATTTATTATATAACAAGTTTCAATGAAAATGATGTAAATACATGTGGATTAGGGGTGGCAACAGGGTGGATCTAGGCAAGGCCAGAGTTGGCCCAAATCCAGCCCTACATTTTCAGGGCAAGGACCAAGACAATGACAATCTCAAGGCAAGCCTAAACGTTGCCCCATAACATGGCTGCAGAGCCCGGGCCAGGCACAGCCTAGGACCAGATCCAAGTGCAACCCTGGGCTATTTTATATGTTACGGCTAATAACTTCCTAAACTCCACAAAAATATAAAATACATACAAAATAATATGACATTATCTTTACCTTGCTCCAACAAACAAAAACAACAAAAAGGGGAAAATAAACAAAGAAAAAGTAAATTTAATACATTAAAGAGAATGAATTCACATATATTGGCTCAAGCCCCACCAGCCACACAGATCCAGCCCGATAATCAATCCCCTAAAGTATTTTGCCCAAGAGGTGTCAGCAGGACCAATATAGGAGCCCAACCCTGTCAAAATCAGACCAGGCCCACTTGGCTATTTGCCATCCTAATCGTGGATCAGACAAACTAAAGAAGACACATAGACCTCAAACCGGAACCGGACTCCGAGAAATATGAGGGCTGGTGACACATAACTGAGATAGATGCAAAAAATGAAGAACAAGAGAACAAAAAGCCATGTCAATGGAACAAAGTTCCAGTAACAGAAGGGCTGAATCATAGAAATCATATCCAACAGAAATCACTAGAGAGACGAAAGAAACCAAAATCCCAGAACTATTTCAATAAAAATGTGCTTCAGATTCCATTCATTTCATAAGCTTTGTGGGCCAGAAACTTAGATATTTAACGTAACTGCAAAATGGAAATATAACTCTTTATAGATGCGGGCACACGACAAAAATATCAACTTGCATAGCACATTAAGTTTGGCATCTTTAACTCTAATCCTGTCGATTGAAGTCCAATAATTAGAAACTAATTATCATTTTCAGAAAATGTCTTCAATCCATTTAAGTGATTGTATGCAACAATGCGATAACATGAATTTCTCATTTCTTTTTATCATCATAATATATCTCATCCTACATCACCCTTTAACAGAAGCATCGGTGAGACATATGAAAATATAATGTGCGCATCTACAATTTAGTGTCAACAAATTTAAAGGTAAACTGTCAAGTTAAGAAACTGAGCAATGTCTTGATGAAGGCAGGACAAACCTTGAAAATGCAGAGGCATTTGAATGATGCAATATATGTCTCTCCTCTTTCTCTTGCCTATCAAAGCCCAGGAACTGAGGTCTTCTAAGGGAGAGCTCCCACAGTGGAACAGAGCCTGATGGGGACATGTCATCCTTTAGATCAAAGGGACTTGCCATGCCTCTAGATAAATGTTCCCTTTGTGGAAGAGTTCCTGTATCTGAATATTGACACATTCTTTGTCTATCAATTTCCCCAATCAAGTCAATGGCTTGTCCAGAGAAAGTAAACTTCATAGAGTTGTGATCATTTATGGAATCAGCATTTGCACCATCCCTGAAACCAGTTAAGTTCAGGCTCTCCTCTTCATCAAGGGGTTTCGCACAGTCACCTTCCGCCTCTGGGGTTTGGCTTGTTGATACAATTGCTTGATCACAGTAAGACTTTTCCGGCCTCCTTGCTGATTTATGATACAAATATGCTCATTAGCCACTCCAATCCAAGATAAAACAATTGGCAGTGAAATATAGAAGGTTTTGATGGAAAATTGCAAATCAAACCAATCTATAAAATGTAAATAGCAGACTATATGTCTCTTTCTCCATGTTTCTCTCGCATGTTTACCATCCAATAGTAATACATACGACACCACCGTTTTATCATCAAACTTTACAGATGTACGCCCAAATTTTTGTGGAACACTAAGCTTTGCTTGATTTTGTCAAAGTCCTGCATTTAAGTCTTCTGTACCATTTAGTCAATTTTAGTTTTCATTTGAGTTATCTTTATCAAAGTAAATTTCTTTGGCTCTGTATTTCTTTTATTAAAGAAAAATAACATACCAACCCCCCTTCCAAACCCCGCCCGCCCGCCCACCAAAATAATAATAATAATAATAAATATGAATAAATAAAAAAATAACGGTAGAGAGAAAGTTATCACACCTTCAGCAGCTTCGTTTACTTTCAGCTGTAACTCCTGAGGGATACTCCTGCCTTGCTGCAACGAGAACTCCTGACTACTTTGTGTGTCTGCACTTTCAACTTCCAAATCTGGTCTTGTACAAGAGCTCTGCACAAGAAACCAATTAAGCAAACCATTCATCACTTTATAAAACTAATTTACAATATTGTTTAGAGGATTATAACATATCTGATTATAACATATCTTGTTATAACAAAATAATGTACTCACTTGAGCGTCACTCCCTTTTTCACTGTTCTCCTTGTTTTTCTGTGCACAAGCAATATATTCGCTCGAATGATTGCTTGCAGCATTGTTTTCTGATAAAGCCTCAAGTTTAAGTTGTGATGGATTTCCTTCTTGGCATGTAATGCCTCCAATATTGGACTGCATCAAAATAATAATAAGCAGATTTGATAAGAATTTTGAAATTTAGTTTGAAAGAAGAAAAGAAAATAATTGAAGAAACATGGAGGAAGAAAAAAAGAAGAAGAAACTCGAAGATATGAAGATGAAGGATTGCTGAGAGAACATACAGAGTGCCTTCTCCACACATGTTGCCACACATTTCTGAGTTCATTCTTCCTTATGGGTTTGAGAAGAAAGTCTGAAGCACCTTTCAACATGCATTTTAAAACAATACTAATAGAGTCCTGTGAAGACATCACTGCATACACCAAGAAAAGTTAAAAATGTAACCATTTCATAAAATATAGACTTCTGAATGGATATAACAACAAAGAAATTCAGGATTAAAACTAGTGCAGAAAAAAAATAAAAACAATTTGGTATTCGCTACATAAGACCAAAAGAACAGTAAAAGTAACAAAAAAGAATCATTCGTAGCAAATGAAGGTTTAAGTTTATTTATATACTGTGAACAGGTAAAACCCATCAAAATTTAACTCTATGAAGGAGAAAATCATGTTCCATGGAGTTCTTAAGACAAAAATTTAAACTTGGAGGAGCTCACAAAAAGAAAGAAAACCATTTGGCTACAATAACAGATGCATACATTTCAGAACACAAACTACTGGAATTCAATTGGAAATCTACAGCTTCCAGAGCTGGAAAGTACCAAAACTCACATTGCAAATAGGATGACACCAAGAAAATCATATTTCTTTAAGAAGGAAGATACTTACTGATAACAGGAACTTTTCTGCAAATCTCGTGACCCATTATCATGGAGAGTAGAGCAAATCCAGAAATTGTGGGCATTATCACTTCCGTCAAAACAATATCAAAATTATGGGGATTCTCTTTTAGGATCTGCCATGCCATCCTCCCGTCTGGAACAGCAGCAACTGTAACAAAACAAACACAAGATCCCCCAGTTTTCAGTTCAGTGATCTCTTAGGAGCGTCAATATTAGAACTATCAATGAGTTCAAGAGTAAATGAAGCTCCTGAAGAAAATGTAAACAGCGAAGGAAGTGCCAAAATAGAATACGTTAAGAAACCCAATAAGAGGAAGAAGAAGAAAACAGGGAAACCATACAGCAGAAAACAAGAGAAAAATCAACACTAGGAGTTACAGCACAGAAATTTGAAACAGAGGGGTCATATACAAAGAATAAAAGAAGAAAAAGAAGGAATTTTGCAGTAGACTGCGGGATATTTCAAACCAATAAGCAAATTCATCCCAATTTCCAGTGTATTTTCAACTGCTGACTAAAATACTGCATCTTCCATGTTCGATTAAGCACTAAGCAAAAGACCCAAGACCTAATTACCAACTTCTATGATCAAAGCCCTAAGAACCCACTGATGAAAAAGGGAATTTTGACAGACCCACCAAAAGAAAACAGAGAAAGAGAGAGAGAGAGAGAGAGAGAGAGAGGAGAG